GGCTGGTCTTTAAGAACGGGTAATACGAGGTCCAACGAGACGCCGAGATGACGGCGTCGTTGATGAGCTCGGTGAGTTTGACACGTGTCTTCGCGGGAGATTCCGGACGTGCGTTTCTTCAGCCGAGTGGCCTCCACGTCCTCTCGGAAAGTACACTTGTGAGTGCGGCGGCATTGTCGCGATCGAGTGTTTCTGTGAGCTCCCGACGAGACGGGGTCCCGGCAGGGGCGCAGGGTTTTAGCATTAGTAGCAGGGGGGGGGAGGGCCGTGAGGGGGGGTCTCGTCGGCGATTCTCGAAGCAATCGAACGGGATGTGGCGGCGCGCAGTGTGTCGGACTGGTAGCGGAACGACAGCTGGCAGTTCGCTTGCCACGTGGCGTTCCTACGTGATGGGGGGAACAGGAGCAGGAGTAGGAGGGGGGAGAGGGGGAGCAGAAGGAGAAGCAGGCGGTCGTTCGAGCACCACCGCCGCCGCCGCCGCCGCCGCCGCCAACGTCTCCGCTAGCGCCGCCGACCTTGCCTTGATGCCGAACGACCGGTCGTTCGGAACGATGAGAGCGACCTCGGAAGCCGTGGCGGCTCGGGGACTTCCTTCTGACGAAGGGAGACAGATGGCCGATACGGATAATAATGACACGTCAGCATCGACATTGCAACCACCTGACGTGGCAGATTTGGCCAATCGAGCGCGCATCACCGTCAGTCCTGAAGAGGTCCTGGAGTGGAGTCCCAAGATCGGCCGCATCGTTGATTGGTTCGGTCAATTACAGAAGATAGATTTGGAGGGAGTCGTACCTGCAACGCGGCCGGCAGGGGTATTGAATGATGGGGAAGACGTGATACTGCGCGCCGATGTCGCGACGGCGTTTGAAGAAAGAGCGGCGATGATTGACGAAGTTCCGCAGATGACGGGTCCGTATATCAAGGTGCCCAGAATTTTGTCCGAATAGGAATATATATATATTTTCTTTAAATTTAAAAGACAAATTAACAATCAGATCGAATAAATGAATATATACCATTTAGATAGATACATAGATAGTGAGATTAGATAGATAGCTAGATAGAGAGATTAGATAGATAGATAGATAGAGAAAGATAGATAGATAGAGAGAGAGAGAGAGAGAAAGAGAGAGAGAGAGAGAGAGAGAGAGAGAGAGAGAGAGAGAGAGAGAGAGAGAGAGAGAGAGAGGTTTAGTATCTTGGAATGGAGAAGGAGGACCCTTTCTTCTCCTTACCCCTCCATTACTCTCCCTTACTGTGTGCTTTGAAGTGCCGGCGCCGTTTCACACGGACAAAACAATCAAGTGATTTTATGTTAATCAATGAATGCCGTCTATCATTGATGATGACATAAGAAGAAGAAGAAGAAGAAGAAGAAGAAGAAGAAGAAAAAAAGCAAAGCATACGGGCAGATTAACGGTCATTTTGATTAACGATTATGACGCAGTTTTGTGGTGGAAACGGTCCCGAGGATAGTGCAGCTGGTAAGATGATTGATTAAACAGATATGGAACCTAAGCAAAAAAAAAGAAGGATGTGTCCTATCTCGCTCCCCCTTCCCTTCCCCCTCTCCTCCTTAAAAGAAAATACTACGGATAAGGAAAGGTCAACGGGATTGGGACAAGGTTAAGTGTACTGGACGAATGGGGGTCACTAAATCTTTGTTTTGCCCCGACAAGAGAGAGCGAGCGAGCGAGCGAGAGAGAGAGAGAGAGAGAGAGAGAGAGAGAGAGAGAGAGAGAGAGAGAGAGAGAGAGAGAGAGAGAGAGAGATGATTGTCGGTCGATTAAACGGATCAGATTCTCATGTAGGCGGTTGTTGCCGTCCGATTGGGCAAATCATCGTTGGGTGGTCGGTGATCTCTATCTGCGGCGTGCTCTTGAAAGGTGGGACCAGCTAGCTATGTCAGAGGAAAAATGAAACTTTTTTTTTTTGTGTAGACAAAAAAAAAAGAAATCAGGCCCCCGATCGGGTCTTGCAGCCATCTTTCCTGGACACCGTTGTCTTTGATCCCGGTACAGCGAACATGGACCAAAAGCTCGATTGCTGGATTTGCCGCCAAAACTCCGTCCGGCCTGGGTTTTGCTGCCATGTATTGTTGTGCGCCTTCATCGCTGAGGCCTGGTACAGCGAACTTGGACCAAAAGCTTACCAGCTGGTACAACTAACTTGGGCTGACCAGCTTGTGACCTGGTACGGCCCACTTTCGACCAATGGTCGAGAGTTCCAAAAGTCCCGAAAGGTCCGCTGGGCTGATCTCTGGACATCGTCGATGCAAATTTTGCAGCAACCTGCCGAGTTCCAGAAGTTCCAAAAAAATCGAGAGTTCCAAAAAAATCGAGAGTTCCGAAACTTCGAGAGTTCTAACAGTTGCGGTGGTCCCCAAAGTTCAAGAGTTCCAAAAGTTGGGGAGGTCCCAAAAGTTCAACAGTTCCAAAAGTTGGGGAGGTTCCAAACGCGTTCGGGAGTTCCAAACGCGTTCGGGAGTTCCAAAAGTTCCAGAGTTCCAGAAGTTCTAAGGAGTTCCAAAAGTTCGAGAGTTGCAGAAGTTCTAAGGAGTTCCAAAAGTTCGAGAGTTCCAAAAGTTGGAGAGTTCCAAAAGTTCTAAGGAGTTCCAAAAGTTGGAGAGTTCCAAAAGTTCTAAGGAGTTCCAAAAGTTGGAGAGTTCCAAAAGTTCTAAGGAGTTCCAAAAAAAGCTGGTGAAGTTCCTTCTCTGCCTCGGCGCACTTTTAACAGTTTGATTGCGCAGGAGGTCTGTTATCGTCGGACAAGGTTAAGGTTGCCGTCAACGCTAATTAGCGAGTGAGGGAAGAGCGTGGAGTGAACTATTCTGAGTGAAAAATGGCGGGAGTGTGCGGGAGTGGTCAAAGCATCGTGAGCATGTTGGCGGGAACTGGCCCGTTATAGGCTCCGGAATATTTTGGCGGGAATCGGGCAGTGGGTGGAAGGATTGTGAGTCTCATGGCGGGAATTTTGATTGAGGATTTTGGAGGGAACTCGGCAGTGGAAGGAGGCTTTTGGCGGGAATCGGACCGTGGAAGGAGACGATTTTGGCGGGATTCGGACCGTGGAAGGAGAGGATTTAGGCGGGAATCCGGTCGTGGAAGCAGAGGATTTAGGCGGGAATCCGGTCGTGGAAGGATGATCTCGAGTATTTTGGCGGGAGCCAGGCAGTGGAAGGATCCTCTGAATATTTTGGCGGGAGCCAGGCAGCGGAAGGATCCTCTGAATATTTTGGCGGGAATCGCAGGAAGGGAGACGAAGGGATAGCAAAAGACGACCAGATAAAGATTATCATTGTTGTTCTCGTTGGCGGCAAATCAACCTCCCGCATTTTTGTGATCTATTTACGGCGGGGTTTGGGAAAGTTGGGATCCGGATGAGGGACGGGCAATAGACAAAACGCTTTTATATGAAGCTTTCCATTTTTTTAATTTTTTTTGTATGCTTCATTTTTTATTTATTTTTTATTTTCTAGTATTTTTTGTATATTTTATGTTTTTCGTATTTTTATGTTTTCCAAGGCGTGGGAAAAAAAAAGGAAAAGAAAAAAAGATGCCCCGTTGTGTGTTTTTTGACCAGAACCCCGAGGCTGGTCGGGATGGTGATACATCTCGCTCGGTGAAGTGGGGAATGATTACAAACGACCCATGCAAGGCGACACGTGAGAGGAGGACACGTGGCATCGCGTTGGATCAGCAGGTTCGTGGAATAGGTGTTTGCCTGTCTGGATTGGGATATCACAAATGGATGATGATCGACGGCAGTTCCGACTCAGAATTGGAAATGCATGGAGAGATGGGCGTCGTCGCTAGTCCTCAGTGTATTTGTTGATGTCATAAAAAATCGTTGCCTGTTAGCAGGAGGCCAAAAGAGATGGGAGGGAAAGAGTCTTAGATTGGGATCTCCTTTTTGTTTTCCTTTTCTTTTTTTTTTTCTTTCGGGCATGTCTTTTCCTTGCTCCTCTCACCTCTCTCCTCCTATCTCCCCCTCTCTCCTCCTCTCTCCTCCTCTCTCCTCCTCTCTCCTCTTCTCGCTCCTCTCCTCTGTCCTGTGTTCTTGCCGCTGCTCCCCTCTTGTCCTCATTTCCCATGTGCTCAGTGTTCGTTCTCATCTACTACCTCTGTCTCGTCTTCCCTCCCCTTCTTTGTCTTCAATTTTTTTCTCTTGCTCTCTCTCATTACTCTCTCGTGCTTCGTCTCTATTCACATCCTCCTCCCTTCTCCCTTCTCCCATGTGCATCATTCCCTCTTCCTCCTCCCCTTCCTCCCCGTCCTCCCCCTCCTCGCAGCTCCCTCTCCCTTTGCCTTCTCCCCGTTCTTCCCGTCTCG